GTATCACTCTTTGCAGATATTGCAAAGGCAGATGGGGTCACCCCAGGAATGGACCAGCCTCCTGAATTCTTTGAAGTTTTCAACTTTTCGGAAATCATTTGGGTGACTGTTCCACACCCGTGCGGCCTCAAAAGCAAACGATTTATGTCCATACTTCACAGTGTTGACCCTGGGCACCTCTGCAGTATTTTCTTTCCTGAAGTCATAATTAGACATCTTAATATTAACAAGATACGATGTGATTGATCTTGCAGAAGATGAGAAAGTAGAGGGACATGTTCTTAAAATGGACCAAGAGAAAGCTTTTGATCGGGTTAGTCATGTGTATCCTGTAAAGATTCTTCAAAAGTTTGGGCTAGGAGAATATTTCATTAATTGGATTGAAAAAAACAGTGTTAAATGTATCGTTTTTGACTCAATATTTTCCTATATTGAACCAAGGAAGGTAGGTATGCCCTATCTCTGCGATGTTATATGTTCTAAAAGGCGGAAACTCTTTTATGGAATTGTAATAGCTATGTCAAATACGGTGGCTAAAGTATTTCAGTATGCCGATGACACAACCTTAAAACCATAATCTAGTAAAAAGGGGATGAATAAAGTCTATACTGTTTTGGAAAAGTACAGAATATCAGCCAAAGTTGATGTTGAGAAATCTGGTGTTGTGTATTGATACAGGTAAACTGGCTGGTTGCATATTAGACAGTGCCAACTGACCATGCTATCATTTAGTTCTAGGTTTGTGTAGCAGTTAATTATGGTGTACAGAGTTTCAATGAGAAGGTAATTATCACTATTTTAAATCACAGATATGATCAAACGTGTGCAATAGATCTTATTGTAACACCGCAAAGGGCAGACGGCGTGCGCGTGTCACCATCTTTTACACGTGATATTTAAAAGAGAGCGAAAAGGAGCGTAACCCCTGGATATCGAGGATGGTGAATAGTACTTCCGTAGCGCTACTGGAAGCGGTCGGGTTTTGGAAAATAGATTTCCATATGAACGGATGAGTCAAGAGTTTGGCATTGTACACGCACCTTATTATCCGGTAGAGGCTATTGGAATACATTTCAAACTTGGGCATATTGCAGTTTTTTGGCATAGGAAAATCAATTAAGTTTGGAATGTCTGATACTCATATTTGTATTTGTGGTTGCATCGAATGATTTCTGGCACACGTTTTTGCTTGTTCTAAACTATATACTTTTAATTAAGAAATCTCTGCGTTGCTGTATACTATCCAAAGGTAAACATTCCTCGTGTAACATATATTTTATGATATGTTGAAAATGGAAGTATTTCTAATATATTCATTTTTTTAACAGATGTATCTTAAGTATATTCTACCACGTTTGTAATGTAACGACTCTTTTTATTGGTTAATAACCATGGATTATTGGACGACAGACCATGCACGAGCGTGGGTTATTTATTTACCCTCCTCCGCAAATGTACCGATAAACTAGCGAGTCGCGGGACTGGTTTCATTTTGAATAAATTTGAAGATTTGCTAGCGGACAAACAGAACAATTTATTTAACCTCAATATCTACTTAAACCTCTCAAAACACTTTCGCTGAACTCACCGCTGACCTTATTGTTTGTTAATCCGTCAACTGTTGATTTCATGTGTTGACGAACGATGTAGATAGATTTGTAGATTTGGTGGATTGAAATAAACATCTGGCATAAAGCATGGCTTCAGTGTTTATTGTTTTTCGCTTGTCGACCAAATAGCGACCGAAAATGAAATATTCTTTCCAAACATATCAAGGTTCACAAAATAGGACCACTGCCCATAGTGTCAGAAATGATAGAAATTGGCAGTTTGTTCTAATATGAAGACATACAATCATCACGTGACAATTGTTAGCGCGTGCAAAAGAACAGCCAAATTCGCATAATTCGGTCATCTGGGTCATGACCATGTTATATGTGGTCAAATAATATGCACATTGATTTAAGGCAAATAATAGTATAACAATTTTGAAAGGCTTTATTGAAATAATTTGAAAACATCATACATTTTTGAGTCAGTGCCATATGAATAAAGAAATAGAAACGCGAAGGCTACTGAATTCATTATAAGCAGGCATTCAATTTTCGTTTCCGGATTAATATCAAATTCTGAACATAAGCACCCGGCTATCGTTTCCGACGGACACAATTTCGTTTAACCATTGTCCATCATTAGCTAGATAACAAAAAAGGTACAATTTGAATCTCACAGAGTTTAATCAATACACAGTAAAATTTGAAACTCTATAGACAACTTTGACGAAAATATTGAAAAATCATCAGCTTTTAAAAAATCTCAAATTTCGAAAAAGTATGGAAGCTCGTCAACAATCAAAGAGCGTTAGAAAGCTTGAATATATACTAGGTTTCGATACAGATGTAACCTGTTGAATTCCGATCTTTATATACATAATCTAGTATTGTTCCTCGCAAAATCGAAGGATCTTTACGCGACTTATTGCGGATGATACAAGTAGACTTGTCCGATGTTTTTGAAGAAGATAAAGAAAATGGCACAGCAGCACAACGGTAAAATTGTCAGGGGTTTAAGTTGGCTGTAGTTCGTCTGTAATACTAAGAGAGCATATATCAGCTTAGCTATTGGTCAGGTATTTAAATTTGAACCAATCGAATAGCTTACCGTTAGCCTTAGATTTTGTCATGACGTATTTCAACGGTGCAAAGTAGATATATATCGTGATTATAACTTATTGATTTCAAAAAATAATCTAGTTAACCTTAAGCATTTTCTTAAAATTAAGCAAATATTTATCTTTGTTTTGTTATACTTATTATTTAAACTGAAATACGAATGCATTAATATTTTTCTTCTAGTGACGCATAATTTGATTCTTCTTCATTGGTACATGCGTCTGTTTAATGCTACACTTATGTCCTACAAGCGTTTACTCCTACGATTGTGATGCGTAAAAGCGAGTTATAACCTTACAAAGCTGGCAGTTCACAGCATGTCAATCTCCCCCTTTTGAAGTCTGTGGAGGCTATTTATTGTCAATTATTGAATACAAATATAAAATTATTAAAGATTGCAACGTTTGACACGCCATATACGACACTGCTTTGTCAATCTTTACTATCGAATACAAAAGCAACACCAAAAGGCCACTCTGATGGTTTTTTTTTACCTAATACTCTAATTTTGGTATCAACAATAGATGATTTGTAAATTTAAAGTGCAATCGTTTCAATTAAGGAAGGTATAGATTCGTAATACCTGTGTGATTATACTTTACCCCGGGAAGGTTTCGCTGCAGTTCAAGTTTCGCTTTTTCGCGCTCCTAAATTAGGGCGAATGTATCAATACAGTTAACATTTGTAAACAACCTAATAAATACAGTAAGCAAATGTTAAGGACAAATTACATACATTTTTGTAATAGACGAAATGGATTCTACCGTCGAAGGCCGTAACATTTGACTGGGAATAAATACGAGAAAAGCAAAATGGAATGCACGAGACTTACATTGTCGATTTCTTAAATATCATTAACATTGTTTTCGGGGGAAAAGGCGAAGTTTTGAAAGTGTGATAAAAAGATAAAAATAAAGGAACAACAAACAAACAATCAAACAAAAACAAGCAGATGATAGGGAATGATATAGGTATTGATGCTGAATCCTTAGAATGCAAACTGGCTACCAGCACCTAAGTTTTTATGAAGCATTTCCCGGTTGCAATTTACTACTTGCTCATCTTCCCCTCGTTTAGTTATCAAAATTATAAGAGTTGCGGTATTTTTTTCTAATTAATTTAACTACCTTATAATGATGCTATTTAGAAAGCTAAATGTAAAATGATATTGGAATTCCTTTATTCGGGTCAACGTACATTACTTATCCACATTTTATACTAGCAGTACTTTGCTATAGATTTTCGCAAAAATGTCATCACAATAGCTAATGTCGAACGAAGACGGGTGCCAGGAGAAACACAATCGAAAAGGAAGCAAGAAATAAAAGATAGAAAAAAAGATAGAAATTTAAAGTCGACAGGAGAACAATATCAGATTCTCCAAGAAAACCCACTTAGGGAGTTCCAAATAAGTCGCGCCTACGATAGCATGCAGTGGATTACAGCAGGCCCATTCTTCGAATCTACTGCGGCTTACGAAAAGTTTAACAGCAATGATTAATATTCACGAGCTGGACAATAACAGTTATATTTTGACTGTGTAACTTGAATTGTATGATACTAACTTATCGCGAGTTATATTGCAACGGTCTTACTTCATGAATTGACGCCAATAAACATATTTCACGATATGGCATGGATTTACAATTAAAACGTTGATTTCAATGACAAATCTTTTCATAAGGTGATAAAAGTAGTTTAGAGTAATCACGGTATACCTGGGATGATTCCAATATTCGCCTCCTTTCACCTGCCATTCATTTATCAACATGCAGTATCGACGTTGCTGCCATCCTTTTGATATATAGACCGGTTGACCATAGCATGGTTGGATGTATCTGTCTCAAACCTATCGTATACCAGTATATTTTCAGTTATATTTAACTCAATAACTTAATTTGAATATTTATTATTTGAAGTCATGAAAAAAACACATTTAGAGAAAAAACATCAATATGGATATTGATTGCAACGATTGGTTAAGCTAGCCAGACTTGAAACAACCGAGCCCTGTCGGTTATATTTGCAGGCACAGGGGTGCGTTTCTTTATTGGAGATGTCGTAATAAGGCTTTGTTGTATATCTGCAGCGTCACTTTAGTAATATAACTGGCGCCTGTGTTTCCATCACCTACACGATATGTGGCTTCTATTGTTGTCATGGTCACACGTAGGTCATGTGACATGTGTATCATTTAAATATCAGCGTAGCTGTCCGCATCACCATCGTTTGCGTGGTTGGTTTAATGAGTACAATTTGAATTCCACCATTGACCAATCAGATGTTTTTGTCCTGTGAAGATCAACGTTGCATCAGAATCGATGAAATACTTGCGATAGCTCTGCTGCTTTTCACGACCCCGAGTACCTTGACACGTCACCTGGCATAGTGACCGATGTCCAGCGGTCAGTCTACACCCGATTAAACAAGGTAAGTCCGGTGTTTTACAATGTATGGCGGTGTCTCCTAGGCACTCGTCTTCATATTTTATATATATATATGATATTGGCTGTTGCGATGACATCAAACCTCATACGAGCTGATTAAAATAACATCTTCAAATGTTATTTATATAAAATCAAGCAACGCTACACCGCCAACATTTTGCCAGCGGAATTTTGGCATTAAAAAATGCTTTGGCTATATATCAAGGGAGATGTATAAACTTATGTCAGTAAAAGGACACCTTACAATAAGGTGTCACCTATTAAGTACGAAATTATTATTATTGATGTCGTTGAATTTGTGGCCTTATTTTTAAATAAACTGCCAAAGGTGAAACCGGAGAAAAGGGCCTGGTCTAGGGGGACCAAAAACTATATTTTGGAATTCATACTAAAATAGTATTATTAAACCAAAAAATTAATTAAGTAAGAAACATTCGAAACGCAACTTCCGAAAACCTATTGTTGTTAGCACTGCTAACATATTTCATGTCGCCTTTTTCGATCTCTTGTGGTTTTTTTAAGTTTTCCTGAATTTGTTTTAAATATCTCTTTATAACGCCAACACGTCTCTGACAAATGGTGGCAGTGTACAGTAAAACAAGGGTTTTAAGTTTATATGTATTCATATTATATGTATGTCACTCGCTTTCTCTCCAGATCAAGAGGATGCGGTTTGGTTCTATGAAGATATTCTTGTTTTTCATCGTCCATCCAAATCTCTTTCTTCATGCCACCGGAGGTATGTACTGATATTTACAAACATTTCCACTAAAATTATTTATATATTCATAAAATGCGTCAAAAAGCCATAAAGACCCTTTCACACTCGTACATTTTAATAGATTAACGCTGTTGTGTTATATATATGAAAGCGTGCATATATCGTCTTAAGAGAATAGATAACTTATTTCTTGCAAGTAGTACCACAAATGGCAGATAACAAGCGTTTGATTACTCTTTCTTGAAACAAACCGCCACATGGAAACGTCCACTGACGATGCATATATTTGCTGGTTTCAGATCAGCAGTGGTGTTCATACAAGTTTTATACAGACTTGAAGTCCTGGTTCGAAGCCAAAGCCATATGTGAGCAAGCTAATATGACTTTAGCTCACATCAATATCACGCAGTATGGCTACATCTGGTCACTGATACCATACAGCCTATCACAAATGTATACCAACCTTCCAAGCAGGTACGTGATTTCTGACACCTACCAGTCAACTAGCAATGTATGCCAACCCTCCGAGTAAGGAAACAATGACAAACATCAGTATACTAGTTATGTATGCCAACCCTACGGAGTAAAATATCAACGCTGGTAATCAGTATACTAGCAATATATGCCAAACCTCCAAGGTAGAATATTAATGATATACAGCTGTATACTAGCAATGTATGCCAACCCTCTGGGGTAGTGTATTAATCATAGTCTTCAGTATACTGGCAATGTATGCCAACCATCTGGGTCAGTGTATTAATCATAGTCTTCAGTATAATAGCAATGTATGCCAACCCTCTGGGGCAGTGTATTAATCATAGTATTCAGTATAATAGCAATGTATGCCATCCCTTTGGGGTAGTGTATTAATCATGGTCTTCAGTATACTAGCAATGTATGCAAACCCTCTGGGGCAGTGTATTAATCATAGTCTTTAGTATACTAGCAATGTATGCCAACCATCTGGGGCAATGTATTAATCATAGTCTTCAGTATAATAGCAATGTATGCCAACCCTTTGGGGAAGTGTATTAATCATAGTCTTCAGTATAATAGCAATGTATGCCATCCCTTTGGGGTAGTGTATTAATCATAGTCTTCAGTATAATAGCAATGTATGCCAACCCTCTGGGGCAGTGTATTAATCATAGTCTTCAGTATAATAGCAATGTATGCCAACCCTTTGGGGTAGTGTATTAATCATAGTCTTCAGTATACTAGCAATGTATGTCAACCCTCTGGGGTAGTGTATTAATTATAGTCTTCAGTATACTAGCAATGTATGTCAACCCTCTGGGGTAGTGTATTAATTATAGTCTTCAGTATACTAGCAATGAATGCCAACCATCTGGGGCAGTGTATTAATCATAGTCTTCAGTATAATAGCAATGTATGCCAACCCTCTGGGGCAGTGTATTAATTATAGTCTTCAGTATACTAGCAATGTATGCCAACCCTCTAGGGTAGTGTATTAATTATAGTCTTCAGTATTCTAGCAATGTATGCCAACCCTCTGGGGTAGTGTATGCATTATAGTCTTCAGTATAATAGAAATGTATGCCAACCCTCTGGGTTAGTGTATTAATTATAGTATTCATTATACCAGCAATGTATGCCAACCATCTGGGGTAGTGTATTAATCATAGTCTTCAGTATACCAGCAATGTATGCCAACCATCTGGGGTAGTGTATTAATCATAGTCTTCAGTATAATAGCATTGTATGCCAACCCTCTGGGGTAGGGTATTCATTATAGTCTTCAGTATTCTAGCAATGTATGGCAACCCTCTGGGGTAGTGTATTAATTATAGTATTCATTATACCAGCAATGTATGCCAACCATCTGGGGTAGTGTATTAATCATAGTCTTCAGTATAATAGCAATGCATGCCAACCCTCTGGGGTAGTTTATTAATTATAGTCCTCAGTACAATAGCAATGTATTCCAACCCTCTGGGTTAGTGTATTAATTATAGTATTCATTATACCAGCAATGTATGCCAACCATCTGGGGCAGTGTATTAATCATAGTCTTCAGTATACCAGCAATGTATGCCAACCATCTGGGGTAGTGTATTAATCATAGTCTTCAGTATACTAGCAATGTATGTCAACCCTCTGGGGTAGTGTATTGATTATAGGGTTCAGTATTCTAGCAATGTATGGCAACCCTCTGGGGTAGTGTATGCATTATAGTCTTCAGTATAATAGAAATGTATGCCAACCCTCTGGGGTAGGGTATTAATTATAGTCTTCAGTATAATAGCAATGTATGCCAACCCTCTGGGGTAGTGTATTAATTATAGTATTCATTATACTAGCAATGTATGCCAACCCTCTGGGGTAGTGTATTCATTATAGTCCTCAGTATAATAGCAATGTATGCCAACATACCGATCCATGTTCTTTCTGACAGTCACCGGCCATACTGACAGCCATTACAACAATGTCGTTCCCATATTTTGTTTTTCGTCACGATATAAATTTAAAAAAAAAAGTCTTTTGGGAAATATCATTTATTTATAAATCTGTGTGAGAGAAAATATGAGCGTTATAAATGATTAGGAATGAATATAAACGTCACGTCAGTTGGAAGCGAATCAACATTTGAAAAAAAAGTAAATTACCAATGATCTCTTCTATTAATAGAGCACTTATCTACCACCACGTTTAAGTGGTATCCAATTCTACCGTTATGACGTCATACTAATTATGACGTCAACTATCTGTCAATAATGTGAAATCACTATGCCATTTGAATGAAAATCTTTCTAATTTGTTGTTAAACTTACGGTTAACAAGGAATATGAAAAAAAATGATCAGATGAATTTTCCATACGTTTATGTTAATAACGCTTTTTATGATAACTTTGTTTTTAAAGGTTACGCCTATCAACAGCTAAGATCATTTAAGGGCGTGCCTATATATGTGTAATGTATGCGTGCCGTGTTGAATGTTTAGCAGGATAATAACAACTCTGGTTTGTCCCGGCATGATGACAGAATTCATTACCTTCCTCACTTGAGCGTTTGTTCTCAACACCGAGGCTTAAAGTGAGGTTTAGCCAAAGAAGACGTTAGGAAACAAAACGATTCTTAAGAAGCAGATGACAAATTTAATTTGGTCGCTTTTATGTTCTCAAGAAGAGGGCACACAAGCAATATCCCCTATTCTGCAGGGGGTTCCTCACATTAGCTGCTTCTTACAAAAAGCATTGGGACCATTTCATTCCATCAGATTGTATTGACTTTATATATGTCATCAGGCTAGGCCAATTTAAGTCCTTTCCAAACTTATTTATAAACACTACATATATTCTGTCATAACAATCCAATTAAACAGTGCAGGGGAGATGAATCCAATTTAGCTTGTGAAATGAACATTTTACAACTTTTGTTTAATCATTTTCTGTTTTAGATATTAACAATCAAATAAATCATGTATATTTATTGACAACCCATCCTACATAAAATCCAAGGGATACAGGCCCAAAAGACCCTTTGTATAAACACATTGGCCATCCACCCACTGGATATATAGGATAAGTTACCAAGAAATAAACATTTTGTAAAATTTCAGAATATGATATGGATTCATATAGGAAAATGTAGTTATTATTATATAGTATTGGAGTTGATTCTCTTAAAATTTATTTAACAAAGCACAATAGAATATTCATGTAACTATGAAATAGTTAGAACAGGTTATAGAATAGTACACTCATAAATTCCATCCAGTCCAGCCGAATACCAGAGATGTTGTGGAGATAGACATACACCAGTATCAATATTTATTAGCACAGTGATCATGACACTATAAATAATAGCATCACTTTCAATGTAAAGTTTTGCTGTGATTGAGATTATATATCAAGCCTATTAATTTGACAAATGTAGTCAGATATACTTTGTAAAATGGATATGTTAATATCAGCGCTGCATATTAAGCATCCCTTTAATAGAGTTTTTAGATTAAAATGATCATGATTACCAGTTATACCAAATTGAGATTTTTGTATAACTAATTGCATTCTAAAGTTGTTATAGAGTGGGCATTCATTGGGACCAAATACACCAATTTAGATTTCCAACTTTTCGGCTCCTTCCATCCTCCACGAGTCCTTGAAGGACGAAACAGCTGTACGGTATAGTGTATTGTATTTGGCATACTATATCTTTTACCAAATTTTAAAGGTATTGTTCCTTGTATTTGTCTTATGTTCATATTTCAGGATACAAGATGGTAGACTCTGCTGGTGAATTTCTTAGACCGCGAGGTTTGTCTTAATCTTGATGGCCACAGTTATACCATGTGAGAAGTGGCACGCCGCTATATATATACACAATGTATTCGTTATTGTCAATCTTAAATTTACCAGCACTACTCTTATATTTGAAATTCAAATGATTAACCGGTTTTACGCACCTTTCCTTCTGTTTCAACCATTACTTTAACGCTTTCACCACTGTAGACCTTAATGGAGTCATCCAGATGAATGTATGGTAGAGTGTAATCAAGTTACCCAGGGGTAAAAGGATTAAAACAATTTGAATTTCGGCCTTTTCGACCCCTTACATCATCAGTGTGTTATGACGAAACAGCTGTATGGTGAAGTGTATTGTATTTGGCATGCTGTATCTGTTGTCAGGTGAAGTCCCATGTGTGTGTCCTACGGTGATCCTGGACGGGTATATATTGAAAATGTACCGTTTCGAAGTATGTAACTTCTTTGAAGTAATACAGTCATCTCCTTTATATTATGTTGTAGTGCTTTGTGGCTTGGTGGGTTTCGGTTGAATAACGGAAAACCAACGTGGCAGGACGACTGTGAGGAAATTGACAACTCCGATTATACAAATGGAGGAAATGATCAAGAGGAGGCTTGCATGAAAATGGAAAAAACGATCACAGAGTTTGGTACAGAAAACTGTACTGAAAGTATGCCGTTTTTATGCCAGGGTTCTACAACAGGTACTTATCATACTGTTCTCTTTATTTTGTATGCATACGTATTATCACTTATACATACATAGTAGGCATTATGTCACCGTCTTTTGAAACACCCATATTACACATACACATCAGCCAACTCTGCTCAGCTGTTTTTCAATTAAGAACACAATTGTTAATGTAGGTCGAAACTCAGCAGTTATTGAAATGTCAAAATATGGTGTACTCTTTCTTTGTACTCCCACCAATTTCCACACAAACTATATTCACAATGCAATGTTATAAATAACATTGGCAAAAAGATGGGAACATATCTTAATTATGTGCTGTGGACCTGCTTAGACATCTCACAGTGATTCGTTACATGGTTATTAAAACATATATTCATTTGTTAATTTTAAATCAACAGCAGTTGTACACGTGTTAAACGCAAATAATGTTAATTTATGGCATCGAAGTGCTGAACTGAAACATGCCGTATGCCCAGCTCAAAAATGGCAAAGAATGACTCAAATGTTTGATGGCACTCACATATATTGATGTTAATAATCTTCTTGACTAAACAAGTGGGAAGTTTGAGTTAAATGTGATGTTCATACCAGCAGACGTTTGCATTACCCTACACAATTTTATCATTAAAACCTCTGTATATTTCAAATAATGGTATTTCGAACTTGATTTGTGGGAGACTAAATGTACAAAATTAAACTTCCGCTAATAAATAGTGATAAACGACAGAGATAATGTTAAATAAAGGATTGGTTTGGTTATTGGGTTTAGTTTCAAAAAAGGATATATTTTTGTTTGTAAAAGATGCATCCGCCAAACATGATGTTAATCCTAAATATTGGTCGCATCCAGTTACCAGGACCCAAAGACGATCATACATTCTCGCCTTTAAAGATTGTTAATACAAACGTAATAAAAGTATACGGATTTAAGGATGACGAAACTGATGAAATAACTATATATACACAATGCTGTTATGTGACCATCGTTATGGAATTTGGCTTGAAGCTTTTTCTATAAAACAAAAAGCAAAATTACGATGGTCACATAACAACATTGTGTATGCATAGTCATTTCATCACTTTCATCAACCTTTTTTTCTAGAAGGTGCCGTAGTGGCCAAGTGGCTAAGGCGTCTGACATTCTGCAACCACTAGCCCTCCACCACTTGGTCGTGGGTTCGAGACCTACGTGGGGCAGTCGTCCCTGGCCGTAGGTCGGTTGATTTTCTCGGAGAACTCCGGCTTTCCTCCACCACCAAAACCTGGCACGTTCTTAAATGGCCATAGCTGTTAATAGGACGTAAAACACAAACAAACCAAACCAAACTAAACCAAACGAGAGTTGCAAAGATGTTGTAGAAAGAAGATGATGAGATATAACTTTATTAGACAACTCTTAGACTTGACTTTTCTTACACACTTCATATGAACGGCTTTCGCTTCACTACGGTCATTCATGTGGTGTGTAAGTAAAATTTCTCCCTTTCAAATTTGCTTGAACACTGGAAAAATCCAGATTAAATCCCTATATATTTTCTTAAATGAAGTAAAGATTTAGATAATATACATAATGTCACGTTCTTGTATGCTCCAATGGGTCCCGATCAAATGACGTTGATTCTTGTCAAATTTTGGCACGTTTGTTTAGCTATTATGATCAATTTTAATAAGACCACTTCATAAGTGAATTATATATTTCTTTAGCGAACCAAGTAATTTAAAGATGAAAATATTTTTATTGTCAACCCAGTCGAACACATAGTTGCGATTCGTTGGATTTTTCGTTAATTCGCTTACGCATGATAATAACGTAAACATAACCTCTATCCTCCGCAGTCGGGAAAAGGCTTTGCAAGCCTATACTTGACGTATCTATGAGTCATTGGAATTTTGAATATTTTCAATCAAATATAAGTATTTAGAAAACTGTGTGACTTTAATTTTATACGCGGTTTTTCCGACCGATTGCGTCACGGTGACCTATAAATATAAATGTTAAAATTCAATATTTCAAGAATAAAATTTTGAATTGTTTACGCTTTTTAATGTTATTGAACTGGTCGATTAAATTTCTTATTTGTTTTGATAAACGAACGAAACATCACTAGACATTCGTTTCAGTAGCATAATCTGTATTTGAAAAAATATCACGTTGATGTTTCCTGATCAATACTTGATTCATTTGTATCAGATATCAAGAATTGTTACACAACCACTACGGAGGTATGGGGTCTGTCGAGATATACCGAGGGCTATACCAACATGGAAAATTGTTACGACCATTGCGCATGCTCAAACTGTTATGGAATCAGTCACTTCGCCGATGGTAATTCTTGCGTGATGTTATCAATGACTAATAACACTAAAAAAAGAACGAAACCTACACTTTATGTCAAAGGTAAGTGATGTAAACTTGCTTGTGTAACAAAGGAGACTCGCACGCACACACACGATCGCACACACATACACACGCACACCCACACATCCCCCCCCCACACACACAACCAAACACACTCACACCCACCCACACACCCACACACACCCACACATATAACATATATTTACATTCTGTTTATTCACAGTGCTTACATTTATCGGCTGATAACAACAGCGATAGTGAGGCCAACATGCTTCATCGATACAGATACTCCAGGTGCTACCTTCACTTACGCTCTCCTCTCCTATGTCAAGGTAAAACTAAAGGCTTTGTATGCCGACAACCTTATGGATGATACAAGTAAAGCAGATGATCTGGTGTACATGAAAAAACGCATGCTAGCATTACGGTTACATTGAAAGGCTTTGAAGTTAGTTGTTGCTTCTCTGTAATCATTCAGACAGCCATCCTCCATATCTAGGTGTTACGCTCACTTTCGCTCTCTACACCCATGGAATATGTCATAGCAAAATTGAAGGCTCACTGTGTGTCACCTTGTTGATCTCAGGTAAAAAAAACCTGACCAATCGCTAGGCTGATACCTCTCCTTTGAAGATTACAAAGGAGAAATGCCCAACTTCAAAGTCTGTCAATTTTTACCGTTACATGACCGCGAGATTCATTTGATGTATATCAAAGGATCGAACTAGTCTTCTTGTCTCATCAACAAGGTGGCGCACACCGAGCCTTCAATTTTGCCATGACATATTCCAGGGTGTAGAGAGCGAAAGTGAGCGTAACCCTTGGATGTCGAGGATGAAGTGAGCGTAACCCCTGGATATTGAGGATGTCAGACAGCTATCTTCGGGCATTCAATTTTTTCATGACATATTCCAGAGGTATAGAGAACGTAGGTGAGCGTCACTCCTGGAGTATCGAGGATAGCCAAAATGTAGCAAAATACAAATATATGTCAAATCAAATTGAAGAAGGAAAATATCTCCATATATATTTCAAATTAATCGTGTGAGGCAATTCGGAAAAAAGAATCTTCCGGTTTCTATTCTAGACTAAAGAATTCTAAAATACTAGTTATCAATTACTTGTTCATGGTTGGTGAGATACAATTCCGTTTCGAGATTGTAACATAACATCATTTCACCCCAAGACAATCCGAAATGTCATAAACAGATAGTTCATTATTGTATCATAAAAATAGAAATATATGCTTCAATATTTAAGAAAAAAATAAATCATGTTTTATATATCATATCAATTCCGTTTTTTATTGACTTTGTGAAAACGCATCTTAACCTGCGTAATTAAACCAGCCGCCTTACCTTATACCATACATCCAAAAGTCGTTAATTAAATAGTTTTACTTCAATAATTAACAAACTTTCCATTGAAGTAATATGCTATTGAAACTCTGTTCGTTGAATGTAGAATAGAGTATTTGCTAAAGATGAACCAAACAAACAGAACGCGATCAATACAGACCTGCATACACGAAAAATAATAAAGTTCTTACTAACTTCAATGAAAACAGAATCATAAGGGTTAGCATAAGGGTTAGCCGAGGTGTGTGTGTGTGAGGGGTGAAGGGGGGGGGGGGAGTATGTGTGTGTGCGTTTAACATGAGGCTTGTCGAATGTTTATCTGAGAGTAATAATTCACTTAGTTATGACAATAGCATGTCACGTCATCGATGCATTGATGTCACGTCAACAGTAGCAGACCATGGAAGACAACTCTGGGTTTGCTGGGAAAACATACAATTAACGCTTATATTTCATGCAATCACCGCCTGTCGGCGGAGTGGAGCAGGATGGGAGAAAAAAATCATCCTCTACCTTGAGAGTGGGACAGAGAAATCTCCAACCTTCGGTATGATATTATCGAATGTCTTTCCCTCGGCAAAGCCCGAGGGTTGCATATTTCTCTGTCACTCCCTCAAGGTGGGGAATATTATATTAATCTCACCCAAAAGGTTGAATGATATTGAAAACGCCAAAGTTTGTTGTAGTTGCAAAATTTCTCGAAAAGCCCTTGTGTACTGTCGCTATTATTTTTAGATTTGCTTTCAGAACTACCATTATTTTAACTTAGATCCGTTTTTTGTAAAAGATAATGCTGTTCTGATGAGAAATGTAACATGTGATTATTTCTATACAGATCTAGTGCGAACGGCGCCCGTTGACGTTTCGCCTACTATCACTGAACTGCATGACATGTGTTCCACTCGAGTTATCACATCATCCCAACAACAAGATGATATCCCTCTGACGTCACTTCCTTATTCCGATACTGCGACACCCCACACCAGCACTCCACTAACATCGGAATCAACAGGACGTATTAATCTTCAACCAAGTAGCACACCATCGGAGCTTGATAAAACTAGTGAAATGTCTACGCCTTTCCTCTCTCATGATGTCACCTCCGTTGACCTGACAAAAACATCGCTCCCTACAGGTACGTAGTTAGCGTTGTATTATTATTATTATTAGGGCCCCGTATCGGAGATACGGGTGCCCTATAGTAATCACTCTGTCTGTCTGTTTGTCTGTCTGTCTGTCTGTCTGTCCGTCCGTCCACAAATTTTGTTCCTGGCTGATAACTTTAGTATCTATTGACCGATGTACATGAAACTGGGTCAAGATGTTCAGTTCACAAAAATACACATTGAGGTAAAAAGTCAAGGTCAAAAGTAAATGTCATTGGGTTCAAAGGTCAAGGTCAAATTTTACATCTTTTCATTGATGAACATTTTGTTATGACATTATGAAGCAAAGTTGATCAGAATAAAACAAGGAGTCGATTGATCTAAGGTCAAGGTCATCGAGTCAGGGGTCAAGGTCAAATTTTGTAGCTTTTCACTGGTGAACATTTCACTATGACATTATGAAGCAAAGTTGTTCGGAATTAAACAAAAAGACACACTGAGGTAAAAAGTCGAGGTCAAAGGTCAAAGTCATTAGATTCAAAGGTCAAGGTAAAATTTTGCATCTTTTCACTGATGAACATTTTGTTATGACATGATGAAGCAAAGTTGATCAGAATTAAACAAGGACTCGACTGATAAAAGGTCAAGGTCATTGGGTCAAAGGTCAAGGTTAAATTTTGAATCTTTTCACTGGTGAACATTTCACTATGACACTTTGAAGCAATGTTGCTCAGAATTAAGCAAGGAGTCAATTGACCAAAGGTCAAGGTCACTGGGTCAAAGGTGAAGGTTTAATTTTTTACCTTTTCCCTGATGAACATTTTGTTATGACATTATGAAGCAATGTTGTTCAGAACTTAACACAGAGTCAACTGACCTTAGGTCCAGGTCACGGAGTCCAAAGGGTCAAGGTCAAGTTTTGTATTTTTCACTGATGAACATTTTGTTATGATATTAAGAAGTAAAGTTTGTCTGAATTAAAGAATAAGTCAACTGACCAAAGATCAGGCTCACTGGGTTAATGGTCAAGGTCATTTGGGTCTAAAGGTCAAAGACAAAGTGGATCTCTGACTTTGACCCTGGCTCTTGATGGATCGAGGAGGTATATAAGGTGAAATAAAGCAAATCAAAGCTAACAAATGAGTATTCCACCGGTATTTACATTTCTGTTAGCCCAGCAAATATGGAGGTGGAAGGAAACAAGACTCACATCATAGTACATGTAAATATATATTTTGCTTCCTTGCGATTCTTTTTGAAGTCAAAATGTCAAACGTCAAGCTCAGCTATATGGGCAGATTGCTTCTTGATGATTATGGGGGATATATTGCCACAAGACGGGCCCTTACTGACCTGTCAGTGTTCTAGTTAATTTACGAAACAATGAATAAAATGTTTCATCTTATAATCACAGAAAATACCATAGCATCATGAGAAAGTGTCATTTTATAAAGGAGAAAAAGGGTTTGCTGCCATGTTCTACCTGTCCCTCAAGTAGAAAAATGACATACAGAAGTGACTAACTCATTATTACGAACAGCTTCTGCAATTCCTTGATCCTTCAAAGGTCATGTTCAGCGGTGTTTTGCCCGCTGTGCAGAATGAATTGAAGGAGGACTTTGTGGCATCGAGTGTTCTTTTTATGAAACCCGTGTCAAGTGGTCCTTGCTCTTCGCAGGATGCTGGGTTTGCCGCGAAGAAGCATAGACATAATCCCAGGCAACGTCCTGCTGGGCTTCTTAGCCATTCTGTAAGGCCAATGTTAAAATTTGTAAGGATGGAAAGAAGCCACCCGTAAGGGGAAGTCGAGTTCCTGACTCTCTTCTTCCCTTCCTATCCTAGCTCTTGTTAGATTGTGTGAGTTGCCAATTAATGATAATGGCGACACAGCATCCTATAAGTATTAGTAAATTGAGTGATTGTTTCAAAGTTACCAATCGCGTTCTTTGAAATAGAATGCAAAGTGTCGTATAAACAAATACAAAAATAAGCTCTAAATCGAATCACGTGATACATTTTTATGAAAACTGTTGAATATTATTACAGATTGTGATGAATTATTATAAACTTGCAAGCTATAATGAATCGTCTGTTTCAGTCTACAAACATGATAAATACATGTTCTTTTTACCGACTTACACTGATTTAAGTTATATCTTCACATCGCTCCCGTTTACTGTTATGTCGCGTTGAAGCGACATATCAGTAAACGGGAGCGATGTGAAGATATAATTTTAATTAGATTGATATAAAACAAGTTACATTTTCCGCCTTTGAAAACTATTAACGTATATCATAAACTCTCTTTTTTGATTGTCTTGTGTGTTTGCAGTCCCAGTGAATTCCGGAACGATTTCCCCCTCCCGCACCACATGCTCACCTATCAAAACAACGGCAATAAATCAGGAAGAGTTGGAGGAGAAAGTCCAGCAGTTACGGAGCGACCTGCTCGTTGACAAGAAGAAACTGTCTTCCTGGAAGCGGACTTTGACCAGTGCCGCCGACGACCGACAGTCTGCGGCTAACATTGGTTACGTGGGCGTCCTCGTTGTCTGTCTGATACCATTGATAATCATACTTATGGACCTGGGAAGGATACACAAGGGCATAAAGCAATTCAGGTCACGTGTAAACAAAAAACGCACTTTACCACCAGATCAGATTACCTAACGAGACGTCAGGAACACGTGGCCCTATTCAGACTTACATCTCGGTTCACACGAACATATGAATATGTGCAGAACGGAAAAGTTTTTCTTAATTATACTAATTTAGTTTCCGGCTTTTTCACATCTCCCACTTCACGCCATTTCGGAATGGAGTAAAACTGAAAACACAAATTGTCCAAGAAACATTAACCATTTTTCTTAATAGTTTATGATTTGTTTTATTTATGTGTGTGTGTTTCCGGTTTTTTCACATCTCCCCTTTCACGCTATTTCGGAATGGAGTAACCTGAAAACACAAATTGTCGTTCTAACACGACTCGTACACATTAAATGAGATAATCGATATACTCGTCCTTTATAGAAGCGTCTTGTATGCCAGAATACAATGCATTTCATAATTGATTACGAGGAGTTATCATAATACAAAAAATACGTTCCCACAATGGAAAATTCATTATCAAGTTGTTCTCTAGTCGTTCTCAACTTCTTCTTAAGTATTCACATACTGACAACCCTTGATAATGAATTTATCATGCTACCGGTAGATAGTATAAAGTAGTATATAGATGATGATGTAATTTGTCATCCCCGTAGATCGATATTGAAGGTTCTTAACCCAAGGGGCAATTTTTAAGTAACCAGATACGGGGCTTGCATGGTCTGTTTACGTTTCACATATCAATTCTCGTTCTTTCAGTGAAAGCATATAGAACATCATAGAAAGTTTAAAAAAAGTATTTCAGTTGATGACATTTGATTATAGTGGTCACTAACTCATTATTACGAACAGCTTCTGCAATTCCTTGATCCTTCAAAGGTCATGTTCAGCGGTAATAATGGTTATTTTTTGCCCTTTTGTATCATATCCTATAATTCGTTCTCTCTAAATACTCTGATTTCAAACAATTTTAAGTATATGACTTAAAGAAATATTTCATAACAGGAATGTACTCATGTTAGCTCACTGAAATGTTTAGCTTTATCGAAATTTGACCTTTTGGCGCAAAGATGAATCATCGGTGCTCCCCTCAATTTGTAAAAAAAAAAATGAAAACAATAATGTTTCAATAAGTGCAATCATAATTAAGCACGACAGGTATAACACAAAACGCGCTGGAATAATATTACCTCTGAAGTATATACGGTTACGTTATATTTGTTATTGATCTGCCATTCCTACATATCGTTATAGCGGACTGAAATACATAAAATAACGTAGACAAATAACGTAAACAAAATCATCTGCATTATTGTACATTTGACATTTTATTGTATTTTATACTTGGAAACATTAACCATTTTTCTTAATAATTTATGATTTTTTTATTTGTGTGTGTGTGTGTTTTGTAGTGGCTTTTTGTTGTTGTTGTCGTTTTGTGTTTTGTTTTATTTTTTTCCCCACAGAAATTCAACATTTAAAACATGTATTATATGTATTATGAATGCAAAAAACAAAATTCGGACTGATCAAGTTCCATTTTAATAATATCGTTTTGTGCTTATGCTTTTTTATTATAAGTGTTATAAGAATTATATTGGGTTTGAAGTACAGCCTAATATTGGTATTATTTCAGATAAGAGTAAGTTTTAGTTCAAACTGGACATTCATTTCATCTTTTTGCAAGTTTCATTATTTATATATTTGATTTATACTTGACTCTCTTTAGAGTTTAGTTCTATGTTCCTCTATATTTAGCACTATTCACATGTCTTGTGCTCTTTTTCTTACATTACGTATTTACTTTAGATCAATATCCGTATATGTATGTTTTCTTGTTTTTTTAGTTTTATGTTCTTTTTTTGGGGGGGTGTACAAAAAATATCATGATTGTTTTTACTGTATTGGTGCACTGCATTCGCATTCTCGAATTAGTTGTAGTGTGTTTTCTTCATCTTTTTTTACAATAATCTTTCCAATTTGCTCTTTGATTGTTTGCAAACGTGTGATATCGGAACGAAGTTTGATATAATTATGTTGTTTATGTTGTTTATGTTGTTTTATTTGAAATATTTTATTGTGTAGAATATATTTGTGACTTTTAACTTTACTGCCATAAGACCTGTATTGTTTTCATATGGTCCATTAATTGTGATATATCTCTTTATTTCATGTTTGTCTTATGAATTGATCATTGCAGTTTTGTTTCCAAATAACTAGGTTATCAAAATGAGCTCAAGTCAACTAACCAACATACGATCAATTTCATAGCACGAAGTGCCTCAACAGAGGATCGTACATGAGTGTCCATGTCGTATTGAATTGATTAAAGGTATTCAATTATTTCTTTAAGACACGAGCCTTTAGGCAAGATTTATATCAAATTATTGAACGAATTTAATATGACATGGAGTCGAATGTAAGATTACATTTATCATATAATATTCATAAATTGAAAAAAAATCTCAAAACACACTTTTGTGTTATCAGCTGACTCTATACAGGTAAAAACCAAAGCACTCCGATCATAGTATTGCCGTTCCGTGCAGTGAAAAGTAGTTCCGGATCTTTAAAAAAAAATGAACAATTTTAAATGCAATGAAAATAATAATGAAAAAATGATCTTACATAAACGTATCAATTGGTAAGGTAAATAAAAGTAGTACCTCTAGTGCAAGTAGTGGCGGAGGAATATGTTCCCACAGTTTTGACCATTCGCAGCACCTTTAGGTTTTAGTACAAGTATGGCAAGCCAAGTTGTCATTTATTCATGGAGCAATGTTGAGCCAGTACTTAACCAAATTATATAAGATATCTCATTTATTATATACGATATCTTTTAATAGATATAAGATATCTTATATCTATTAAAAGATATCGTATATAATAAATGAGATATCTTATAAAGAAAATTAAATGAGATATCTTATATAAGATATCTCATAAACTTTTCTTTATAAGATATCTTATTTATTATATAAGATATATTTTATCTTTTATAAGATATCTCAATTGATTTTCTTCATAAGATATATATATTATTTAAGATATCTCATAAAAGATATAAGATATCTTATAAAGAAAAGTTTATGAGATATCTTATAAAGAACGAGACTTTCGCGAGACCGACACAGAAGAAATGTTTGAATATGACTGCTCCCGTTGTAAGGTCACATCCGTTTTCGTTGGTGATAATTTGGCTAAGTACTGGATCAAAATTGCTCCATGAATAAATGACAACTTGGCTTGTCATAATTATATGTAGTTTCAATTTGATGACTGGTCTCATTGTCATCGGCTGCCATTTTCGATCAAATCCTCTCGAACACCCCTCGGTTATCGATTGGTTCCGAGCGCTGTGGGGAAGGGTTTATTATCTGAAATTCAAATCCCGTTTAATTTTGTTTAAAAGATATCTTATGTATTATATAAGATATCTTATAAAAGATATAAGATATCTTATATAATATATAATATATAAGATATATCATTTAATGTTTTTTATAAGACATCTTTTATGAGATATCTTATAAAGAAAAGTATATAAGATATTTTATTAAGTATATAAGATATCTCATTTATTATATACGATATCTTATAAAGTATATAAGAATTCTTATAAAGTATATAAGAATTCTTATATAAGTATATAAGATATCTTATTTAATTTGGTTCAACATTGCTTCATGAATAAATGACAACTTGGCTTGCCATATACAAGGAGGACTGACTCCATCTTATCAGAAATAAATATAATTCCCAGTGAAGTTGAAGATATTATAAAAATTCTAGATGTAAATAAGGCATCAGGTCCTGACGGTATTAGCCATAAAATGCTCAAATTATTATCTAGCGAGATTTCTGTACCGCTATCCATTATTTTTAATTATTCTCTGTCTTCTTGTACATATCCTGAAAACTGGAAAATCGCTCATGTCATGCCTATCTTTAAAGCGAATGATGCAAGTATTACCTCCAATTACAGACCGATTTCATTGATAAGCTGTATTGGACAAATCTTTGAGCGTTTGGTTTATAAACATGTATGTAACTTTTTGATTGAAAATGACCTTTTTTACAAATATCAGTCAGGATTCTTACCTAACCATTCCACGACACATCAACTTATTGAGCTATATCATTCAATAGTTACCTCTTTAGACAATTACGAACATTATCTATTAATATTTTGTGATTTTTCAAAAGATTTTGACCGCGTCTGGCACAGAGGTCTAACACATAAATTGAATAATTATGGCATTTCTGGCCCTCTTCTTCAGTGGATAACTAGTTATCTTTCAAACAGACAACAGGCGGTTTTTTATCAATGATTCTCTTTCTTCCTTTAAGGTCATAAAAGCTGGTGTTCCTCAAGGTTCTGTTCTTGGGCCTCTTTTCTTCCTTATATACATAAATGATATTTCCTGTGATCTTTCCTCTCTCTCTAGACTTTTTGCTGATGATACCACTCTTTCTTATTCGTCCCAAGACATAAACACAATTTCATCCAATGCAAAATCTGATCTGAGAAAACTTGAAGTTTGGTCCAATGAATGGCTGATGTCTTTCAACCCTACCAAAACTGAGGCCCTAGTCATCTCAAATCGGCAACTTCCATTCATCCCTGCATTCACATTTTATAATACCCCCATTCAAATAACTAACCAACATAAGCACTTAGGTGTTATTCTTACTAACGACTGTAAATGGAATGTTCATGTTGAATATATTGTCAGTAAAGTAACCAAATATATAGCAACCCTTCGTAAACTAAAACTTATTTTAAAAAGAAATACATTAGAAAAACTATATCTTACTTATGTTCGACCACTATTGGAATATGCATGTGAAGTATGGGACAACTGCGGTGAAACAAATGCCCTGTTACTAGAAAAAATCCATCTAGAAGCTGCAAGAATAGTCACAGGGCTGCCCACATTCACTAAAAAAGATTTCTTATATCAAGAAACCGGATGGTTACCCCTTTCGAAAAGAAGAGATGCTCGGAAACTTTCCTTGTTTTATTCTATAGTAAATAACATGGCACCTAAATTTCTTACTGACTTATTACCAATGTCTATTGTGGTGTGGGCATCCCTGTGAAGATTGTTATCATTTTTTCCTTATTTGTCCTTTGTATTCTAATTTACGAAGAATACCGAATTAGAATGGTACGAAGGCGACATAAACGTAGATATTCTTTGTAAAGGTGACCCCAACATCTCACCAAATGGTAATATGAAACTAGCCAAGGCTGCACAGCATTTCCTGGGAAGCTCGGGTAGATTTGACTAACTACCAACCCCACTCCTCTCTATCCAACCTCCAACCCCAGTCCTGTCTCCTGTCTCCTGGTTCTTCTCTTACCGTACCCCAACCCCATAATGAATCCAATTCATTAATAACATATTTAAATTTCTTACCATCATGTGACAATTGTGTATTATTATATTTGTCTGTATTACGGGAGAAGTCAATTGATAAGTTGGAAAAACTTACCGACTAATCCCTTTGTCAATATGTTGTCAATAAAATATGTTTAAACTAATATACAAGTGTGTAATATCTTATTTATGACACGACCGTATGACATAGTAAAATGGGTCAATTATTTGATAAATCATTTTTAGAACTTGGTCTTTTAACTGTTTTGTTAATGTTTGCTTTTGTTCTATTTTATTTAGTATAAATAGTATTGTTCATTATTATAATTTTAACGCTGACCATTTGACATGTCTACAAGATTTTTATCAATGTGAAGTTTCTTCTTGTAAAATGTCATTACTACCAGATTTTTGTACTTTTTTTTTTATTGTGAATAAAAAATAATCATCAATATATGACTTTGTGGTTTGTAAGATATGAGATAATCAGCACGAAAATCGGAGGCATCGTTCTCGTTTAAAAGAGGAACCGTCCTCGGTTAATATATATTTTCTCATGTTGATGAATCAAGGTATCGACCTCAGCCAAAGGCTATAATTGAATTTAATAAACCATGCATACCTATTTGTTCCCAGGACGTGATCTTCCTTGGAGTTGACCTAGATTAAAACCTCGGTAGTCGTCGACACTTCCGGAACAAATGTTCCCTATAATCCACGCACTTTTTAAGGTTCTCAATGTAAATATTTCCTTTATTCCTGATAAAACTTGCAGAATATCTGCATCAACTATAGACGATGTGCACTGCACTGTCGTTAGGTCATTGTGACCTTGACCCCAAAGTCAAAGGTGAAATATGTGCTATTTTTTCAGGAACATTTTGTCCGGGTAGTAAATTTTAACCCGTTAAAGATGTCTTGACGAAACTTGCCGTATACCTGCATCATCCAAGGACGATGGGTAGTGCATGCATAAGGTCATTGTGAACTTGACCCTAACGTCAAAGGTCAAGTATGTGTTATTTTTTTTCAGGAACATTTTGTCCGGGCTGTTACTTAAAAACCGTTTAAGATATCTTGATGAAACTTGCAGTATAACTGCATCAGCTACAGATGATGTGCAATACAGTGTCATTAGATCATTGTGGTCTTTACCTCAAGGTCGAAGGTAAAAAAAGTCTGATTGTTTTAAACATTTAAAGGTGTACCTCACTGTGTCTAGGTCTGCTTAAACTTAGTATGCAAGTATATGATATGGCATTGTAAACTCTATCCATGCATCATTTGCGACTATCATGGGGTCAGTTTTGAGGACTTCTGTAATGGTCACCCATTACGATTAGAACTTGTTCATATATGCATTTTATAATATAGCAGTAGGTAGTTCCTCTAATTATAAGGTCTAAATGCTAAGTTCAAGACCTCCTGATACAAGTTGCTGTGTATCTGCATCACCCCCAGACTATCTTGTCCGGGCCGTAACATTTAAACCGTTAAAGGGGAGACATACGTTTGCTCACACAAATAAATCTATATGCGGGTTTTTTTTGCTCCGAACACAATGATTTAAAGTTGTTCATATCCTTATCACATCATGAAATGTGCGAGTCCTGATAAGATGAATAAGGATGTCAGTAACAAACTTTGCTCTTCGCGTGTAGTGGAATGTACATTTGTAGCTCGCACTGCCTTGAAATTAATTTGTTTAATCACGGACTTAGATAACAATCTACGATTTTTGATGTCTTGCCAGTTTTTATGAAGTTCGGTACAGCACAGATTTTTTGGGACTATCAACGATTTATCTCACACTTTTTATATTTTATCAGAATAGTATATACAACTTTAAACAGGTAAATTGATTAATGCTTCAAAATTAATTTATAAGATTAAAACAAATATCTAAACTTCATTGTAAAATATGACATAGTCCAGGTATCTAACAAGCTGGATTCCGGAACATTTATCGACGTCCGGTTAGCATTTAGAATTTTAAAGATGGCTGCGCCCATCTGAAAAACATCCCTGCAGTTTGTGATGTAACAAACATAATTAATTTTCCGACATAACAAGCCGTTAACATGGGTAAAAAGAAACAAGCTAAACAAGAGAAAAGTCAGTCTGCAGATGACCCAGGGAAGAACAAGAAACAAAGAGAAGAAAAAGGTATGACTAACATTTTTTTCCCTACAACACCACAGGCTGACAACAGTGGTTCGTTACAAATGTCTGAAATACACATGCTATACCGATATGGGCCACAGCACATTTATGTATTCATATAACGAACCCCTGTCTGCTGACAATACAGTACTCCTATTCTATTATGGCCCTTTCCCCAGGGAACTGCTTTCTTATAGTCACTATAAGAGAACTGTTCCCGAGGGAAAGGGCCATAATAGAAGGGCAGGGGTAAACCACGAAAAGGAGCGAAAAGGAGTTGTAATGACGAAAAGGACCAAAAATCATTGGTTTTTGGGAGGTTTGAAGCGAAAAGGACCTTGATATGATTGGTTAACTATTTTTTTGTTATGTTCATGGAATATGAAGGCAATCTGTTGATTATTTGCACATAAAAATCAATTTTGCACATTGCCGGTATCATTTCCGCCCATTCCGACGACGAAAAGGACCTCAGTAATGCCGAAAAGGAGCAATATATTAGTGTTTTTTCACCAAGAAACAGTATTAAGTACATAATGTATTCATTCTCACGATACCTAACGATCTTTTTTATCTTGTATGCACATAAATCGACTTTTAATAACACTACAGTACTGTTAATCAGAAAATCAGAAAATACTTACCGGCTACGGGACGCCCCCAAAAAGGACTGTTTACTGGCGAATGAGAATGTGATATGATAACTTACAGCACGAATGACTTACCCATAAAGCTGCTGAATATTCCAATGTCATTTATTTATTAAAATAATCATTAAATAACACGATAATGATATAAATCGCGCATCAATCCAATACTACACAACCCATCGTTACCGAGGCGGTAATAAAAGCTGGAACCGGAAAACGGAAAACGGAAATCCGGATTATGTAAATTCACAACAAGATATATTTTTCTTAATCATCCATTAAGTTTAAAGAAAGTCTTTACTTATAAATCAAGAGAAAATATTAACATACATATATATATTCCTAAACGTAAAGGGTTCATGAAAGAAATGTGAATTAGACATAATTAAATCTGATTAAAAAATGTAAGTAATTTTTATCATAGGAACATGGCCTTGCACTTGTAGTGACTTGTAGCAGGGACGTATAGTGAAGCTCTATATACTGTCCCTGCTTGTAGTGACTGTTATAGTTTTATGCATCTGTGTTACATTTTGTTTTGGTTATCATTATGCTAAACTTTTATTAAAGAACTAGTACATATATCATAATTATCTTTTGAAATTTATCAGACTGTACGATTGCGGCCGGTTTCGGCTGGTTTAGCAACAAAAGGGTTTTAAGGGAGCATACAGTGCAGCTCTGAAATTTCTTCAATTTTTCCTGTTTTAATTGTGTGTTTATTTCTTATTTAGCTGAAATAGAACTCATAACATTACAAATTAATATGCATTGCAAATTTTGATGAATTATCATTTTTCAAATTTCTGGGTCATTGATTAATCATTGATTTTTTTTCCCTGAAATCATTTTGTTGACCTTTGATCATTGGAAGTAGTTAACATTGATGCAAATAATGTCAAAATAAGTTTTAGATATTTGTCATAATGCTAATTTAGAAATTGATTTGTATGAATTGACAAGGAAATGAGACTAATTCATTGAAAAAAAGAAATAGAAACACATGGAATACAGTGGAAATTAGTGAAAACAAACACATATATTAACATTTGCGCTGCAATCCACTATATGAATATTACCAGCAGAAATGCAATTCATTTGAGTATGAAAGCAAAAACTGTCATGTCGTAACAAGTGATTTACTTATGTCATAGATTTACCTTGTTCAATGAGTCTTGTCGCTTCGCTTCGGATAACAATGGAGAATGCCCATGCGTCAACTACTTAAATGACTACGTTAATAATTGGCGCTCTCTATGTAATGAAGTACAGGTCACCGTATTTTACTGCTTTTTTTTCATGTGACAATTAATAATGCTTGTTATATTCCTGTGTTATGGCCTACTATGGTCTTTTTTTCATGCGATTATACAAATTTCTAATATCGTTGGACATAGATGATAGAATATTATAGTAGTACAGTTTCACCTTTAAACTAAGGTTTGAAATGCATCTTTTATACATTTATGATAGTATACAACACAGTTCCCTCAACCATATTTCTTGATGTGCATTAGCCTATCTTGAAGAACATGCTTGAAGAGGTTTGTTTACAACTATACCATCATAAATATTGAAAACATGCATTTTTTTTATATCATTTTATCATTCTTTGTTGTCTCATTCATTTCAATACTGTTTAAAGTCATTTTTGTGAGAACAAGATATTGCTTTGTATGGTAACCACTAACCGGTGCTGTCTGATTACTTTAACAGTCTGATGGAAACACTTGAATGGTATCTGATTGGAAAACATTCACATGTAATGCTTTTTACAGTTATTTGATTAACTCAAAACATTTGCTGCAGGCAGAATAGTAAGAAAATTTAACTATTAAGTAAACTATTTAAGTATGTATTGAATCTCAGTTTTAATAAGGAACAAGTCAGTGTGGTTAAATAAGTTGAAATTTTGTCTAGGTGAAATCCCCCCCCCCCCC